TTAAAAAAAAAAAAAAAGACAACACACAACATATCGTCATTACTACTAACACTTTTTTGCAGAGTTCGGCCACACCATAGGAACTATTTGTCCAAAGTCTGTTTGAGAAAGGTGATTAATTTGTTTGAGAAAGGTGATTAATTTGCAACAAGTTACCAGAGGAGATGTCCACCACAAACTCACCCATCCTACCGCTTAAAGAGGTTGTTAATAAAAATTCTGTGTTGGGTATTCTAATTGTGATAAATCTTTAATGTAATAAATGGTAAACCAGTAGACATTAAAGGAAAGAAAGAATGAAGGCAGTCTGTGCACCTGTCCCTAACAAATCACTCCTAACACAGTAGCAGTCTGCTTGAAGCAGAATGTTTCCAGAGATACAGTGTTTAAACAAACAAATAAAACCCCTCTGCACTTCACTCAGGTTTTTACATTCTCCATCTTGCTCCTAGGAACTTAGCAGGGAAAGAATCAAGAGAACAGATGAGTCAAGCACCTTGCTTCCAGTTTTTTGCATTACAACAGAGCTTTTGGACTGCTAAAGATACAAATTGCTAGGAAGGAACCACTAAGAACATTGCATTCCAGGTAAAAGATACGTTCAGCATATTCGATTCGCAGCAAAATGCCAATCCAAGCTTCAGAGCCTTAGAAATAAGGGAGGTTTCTCTAAATGATGGCAATAAAATGGCCTACAAAATTAAAGATACTAAATTGGTTTAATACATTATAACACAATCAAAACCACCTTCTTCATTTTTGCCCCACTCCTCCAGCCTTGTTTGCAAAAACAACCGCACTCTCTTTTTAGTGAAATTTTCCTTAGGAAAAACATTTCAGGATGAAATACTTGGCATGGAAAATTGCAGCTAAATTAAAGTATCACAAAGCTATAACTGAAAAGAGAGTCTTAAAATGAAAAACGTCTGAACAGCTACAATTAGATGGTAGTAATCAATCTTGCTGTATTTTATACTGAATATCAGAAAAAGAAGTTTTCTTTACACATAGACAAAGCAGGAAGAAGGTCCATTTTGCCTGATATATGAAACAACAACTAGACTTTATTTCAAGCACCAACACTGACCGTTAGATCTTCTCTCCTTAATGATACACCTCCAGCTAACAGATATTACAGTACTTCAGAAAGTGAGGCTGCCACCCTGGCCAAGCTCTAGCATTCCAATCTAGTAACAATAGTTCATTTCCACCTTCATTAACAAAGAGTAAAGTCATCCTTACAGTAGTCCTGGCCATATTTTCTTTTTTCCTTATCACATAAGGAAATTCAGAAGGGCTAAAGTACCAGATACAATATTATCTTGGGAACTTCACTATGCTTTCACCATATCTAGCAGGCATGCATGCAAACTATTACATTTCAAAGGGAATTAAAAATATACTTAACAACAAACAAAAAATAACCTAAAATCGCCTTGCTGATAAGAAAAGAGTATTTTTCCAAATTTGGAAATTAAAATTAATATTGTGATTATTTCATCTATTTTAAAATAAATACAGGGTTTATTTCTCAGCAACAGTATTAAATGGATGTTCTGTGCTCTATTAATTATGCATTAATGTAATAGATACACCTTATTCAAAGAAATAACCCTCTCCTACGATTTTCTGTGCCTAAGATGAAATAATATAGAGACTTACAATTTAAAACCATTCCTGGATATGTGTACAGGAGGATGTGGATAACATTCAGCTGAACTCCTGAAGTGATGTAAAAACTAATTACAGGCAAGAGGAAACATCTTTTGCCTGAGGATATAGAGGTCTTAAAGAAAAGCTGTACTAGTTGCTAGTCGGCTGATTTTCAAGTAATAAACAAGATAAAAGCCATATTAGAGCAAAACAGCTTGCACAGACCTCTAGTCACATCTTTAAAATGTAATCCTTTCATAGCTCAGCAGAAAACTACAATATTATCAGCAGAAGTAAAATGAAAAGATGACATTAATAGCAAACAAACTAATAAAAAAATGGTAAGATCTTATGTGTATGTTTTAGTTTTGGGTCACAAACTGCACACATGACCTTTTTTTCCATATACTAGTTTTAACCCAGATAAATAATCCTGCATAGAATAAAACATTTTCGTTTAATACTTTATCTTTGTGTAAGTTTTACAGGATACACAGCAGTTTATTTCCACTTCATGCAGCATGTACAGCGTATCTCCACAGAAAAACAACAGGACATTTTTTCAACAGGAAAATTGTCTGCCTGTTAAATTAAACTAAGCTTTTCTAGTTTACATTTTCCAGACTGTGAACTCTACAGGCAAGAGCTGTATCTTCTCCTGTTTTTTATAAAAAGCTTGACTTTACAAATATTTAATATCAATTAGAATATCTTTTTCAGGTATGGAGTGAAGAAGTAACAAATGCTAAATAATTTTCCAATTCTGGAAAATATCTTTTAAAATAGAATACTGAATAATGTTTGTAAGCATTTTCCCTAAAATGATAAACATGTAAGTGTCAAACATTAAAATTTTATCACTATTATTTCATTTTTACCTGCTTTTAGTTTTAGGTCCTAGATATACTCTGGAAAGCACCTCATGATACTGCTTTGGAGGAAATAAGTAAGTATATTTTGTTGTATGCATATCAGGTAAAGGAACTGAGTTGCCATAGCTGTAGCTCACTAGAGTTTGCATTGTGTATCATTTTTAGTTTTGCTAAATCAAAACATTAGGTTTTTATTTGCTTAATTATTGTGTGTCCATGTTTGTTAGTTTCATGGTGGTATTTAAAACAAGCATTAAGTGTGCTGCCCTTCCAGTCAAAGAGCTTTCCCCAGACACCGCTTCCAGAGACACTTCTGGCATACCCATATACTCTGAAGACAGGGATAAGAACTTTAAACCCAATATGGTGCTTAAGGAAAGCCCAGGAGAAGAAAACTAAAAGGCTATGTTACGGGAAATCTTTGAACTATTTGATGAGCAATGAGAATAATTCGGGCTGCAAGAGTTTAGATCAACCAGAAAAGGAGATGTAGATGCCAAGGACGCTTCAGTAGTGAAGACAGAAGGGAAATGGAATTCACATGAATAATAATAAAAAAAGAACAAATCCAACAACAACATTTTTGATTTTAGGAACACCGCTCCACCCTCACCTTCCCCCACCATGCCAGCAAGCTTTGAATACATCTTTCTACATCTTCAAAGATGCTGTCCCGCATTAAGTTCTTGGGTTCATGAAAAAAATCCTGAAACATGTATTTCACAAGTGACAAACCTATTCTTAACTATGCATATTTTAAAATATTTTATAAAAGTATGCAAACTTTGAGAATAGACTCAGAAAGCTTTTCAACCCTTTCCCCTCCCCAAACGTTAGTGATCTTAGAATTGCTTTACTCTGAAAGAACTTAGAGTACCTGAATTACAAAACCTTCAAAAATGGTATTAATAGTTCAAATTTTGAAAACCTGGGCTGTACTGGGATGAAATGGTGTATGACTTGCGATAATTATATTAACACTTCAGGGATGGAAGCGTTAAAATAAAGCAGTATGGTTATATCTATTCTGTTCAGTGGAACTTTTTCCTAGCAATATTTCATAGATTTCATAGGTAAATGTTTTTGACATATGACTACAATTAAAATGTTTTAAATTTGATTGTTCTCCATTTGAGAGGATGGATTGCAGATTTTCAAAAGGCCTGTTATACAAATAAATGTATGCAGTATTGGCTTTTATATATTCAACATTTAGTCCAATGTGTCTGTCCTATTTTAAGTACAGATGAATTAACATCAAAAAAATTAAATATCTTTAAAATGGTTTAGGTTAATTGCTCATATGTCACCGTTCTCTTGGTCTGTGTGCTAACAGAGAAGACAGTTCACATGGAAATTTTATTAAATTCAGCAACTTTGTCTATAGAGAAATGCACCTCTACAAATAATATTAATTTTTAAAATACTTAGAAAACTCAGATTATTTTAAGATTAAGCAAGCTGCATAGATGCCCTAATGGGGATCAAACTGCTTTCAATGGGAACAAGACAGCCTTCATGGCAAAAGAGCGAAAATATCAAAACAGAAGTTTTCAGTGTAATGAGTTTAAAAATACAGCAGGATAAGAAGAATAGCTTTAAGAAAAAAGATTAGCCTAGATCTTGAGGCAATAAGTATAAATTTTACTTTAAGATTTCAGTAGTACCATTTCAAACCACTTAGAAGACCTAATGACTCCAAGTGGAGGACAGAAGTACTTCAATGTTAAGAATATACTGGTCTTACGTAATTTTCTGAGGGCCCAATTCAACAAAATATATGTGGTCTTCTGGAGATACTAAGCCCTCACTTGTGGCCACATAGAACTAGTTTTAAATCAAGCTAAATGTTCAAGCTGATGATTAGAAGTTCAATTTTCCATAGAAAGTGTAGAAATAGTATCTGCATGATTAGAAAACATAGTTATTTGGATAAGAATTCATGCAGCACATTTTGTGCATTTTGTATGCTTTCTTCCCCTCTTCTCAGACAGGAGAAGCTCTGAGACTCACTATACATCTCATATCTCTGCTCTGGCAACATTTATGGGGGAGCAAAGCCACAAGGATTAATATGAAAAGAGGTTGTGAAGTTGCATAAAGCTTGAAATGATCATGGCAGAAGGAAAAGGAAAAAAAAAAACCCTATGTAATACATAGCAGCTTCCATGCTACAGCTCTAGATTCTACAGGCTCTACTATCCCAGAGAAATGTTAAGCTAAATGGATTTTTAGGCATATAGTCAGACCAAAAGTCAGCAATTACTAGCACTGACTTCTAGTGCTTGGTCATTAAAACAATAGCATAGTCTTTGCATCTACTGTCCCCAGATACGTGCAAATAAATATGGACAGCCACAACCAGCAAAGAAAACAGTGAGAAATGATTATTCAAAATAAAAAAAAAGAGGGGTTGGGTACAAAGGAATAGCACGTAAATATATAAAACATGCTGAAAAAATAGAAGTGACTTACAGACAGTTAGAGTTCAGATTCCAGTGAGTTGTAGCTATGGGATTACTCCATGATGGAGAGTTTCCTACTTTTTGGAGCTCTTCATGATAACTAAAAGCTAAAGGAATATACACTCAGAATATGTAATTAACTAATGTATAATTGACTATATATTTAAAAAAGCCAAAAAGATCAAAGCTAGAAGAAGAATTCATGCCAAAATAGCTAAAGCACAATTAAAAGTTGACAAACATTTTTGAGATGCTAAGAAGATTGGGTGGAGAAAGGGAGGCAAATACTTTTTGAAAACAGCAGCACAGAGGCACATGGAAATTTTTCTCATTCAATCTTTAAATGATATGGTAAAATAAAAAGCAGAAAGCTGCCCCACTGTAGATCTCTATGATTGGCCTTGCTTTCTTTTTCCCACTCTTGGCCAGCAGAGCATCATCTGGGGTCATTCCAAAAGGCTGTTTTCCACTTTTGCTTCCACTTTCAGGTATTTTATGCATGTAAGTGAAAACAGGATCAAAGCCTCAGAAAGGATTACCTTATTAAATGGAATTGTAAAGAGCCAAGATTACATGTTTATTTACATAGACAAATTATGAAGAGTTCTTAAATAAAGCTGAAAAGTTATTCCCCCTTGTTTCCCAAGGAAAAAGATGGGTGGAGAGGGTAGGCTATTAGTCTTTTCCTAGTTAAAAACAAAAAACAAACCCACAAGACATAGTTCCTCAGATCTCCGATAAAATTGACCCTTTACAGTATTTTTTATATCCTGAAAAACATCAGAATGGAGTTGACATTCATTACATTCTCATTTATTTTCAAAAGTTGCCATCTCTGAGCATTCTATTTGATACTTGCCCATAGATTCCACAAAAGGAAAAGGTCTTTTCCAGTCTCCAGTTGATAAACTGTCTCAGAGTGAGATTTCCTCCAATTTATCATCTTATACTAGCAATACATTATGCTCCACTTTGAAAAATATTAAGTTTATTTTAAATTAAGTGAACAAGGATTGATAGATGGATCCACTCTGCGTAGATATGAGAAACCAAAGATAGAAGTCTGTAGTATTAATACAAATAATTTATCTACATTGAAGTCATCTCTAAGAAATTGTTTGAAAGAAAAAAATTCAAATTTTCTGGAAATACCTGTCTATGCAAGGAAGCCTCTACAGAAATAACTTACTTTTACCCATGCCTTTACTTCAATCTCATCCTAACAAATTACAAAGTATTAGAGAAACATTCACCATTTGGCCACTACTTACTACATGATTAAGTCATTCAGTTATGTTCATGTAGCTATATACTTCAAACATACATAAAAAACATAAGGGAACATGCATGTTCATGACACTTGACTTTTAATGAGATAGCTTTCACTCAAGTCAAGACTAGTTTGCATTGCAGTGTTAAAAAGATATTTCACAAGAGGGGTTGATTCCATACCAAAGTGCAGCTTTCTATCCCTAGACATTCTGTCTACAGTCATTCAAATTAAGGAAACAATGTTGTGGGTGACACTTTCTTCTACTTATTTAGTACTGTAAAAATAATTTCTTCTTCATCTCTTCCACCTTCCATTTAATCCCAAGTGGCGGAAAAACAACTGCTGCTGAAACTTCCCAAAACAAGTCAATTCACCTGCAAGCAGAGGCCAGGCTACGGGAAAGGCGAAAGCTTCAGAATGTTGTATGTAAGAGGTTTACCTAATCTTCATAGTAACATTACTTATATACTTGTAGCAGTATCTTTAAATGTTTCATTGAACATTTAAACATGTTTAAATGTTATCATTAAACCTAATGGTTTGATGGTAGCATTTGCATGGGATGTTTCTACAAGGAAAATTATCCTTAAACTGTGATGAACAATTCAAAGGATGGATGGAAATAAATGCTCTAAATGACTAAAATTATAAAAGAAATCAAAACTTGTCTATTGTTTCTCAAGATTTTTTTTTTTTTTTTTTTTTAAAAACCAGGAAAGTGAGGACCTATTACGATCCCTGCTACTGTTGGGAAAGTAGAGACCACACAGCAAGACTGAGGGACAGCCAGCAGAAGGACAAAGTTCCCAGACCAGTTCTCAGTCAGCTGGATCATAGTGTGATTTAACATTGCATCTGAAGGAAATAAAATGTGTTTTAGTTGCCTACATGCACTGGTATCCTTCAGCAAAAGAAGGATTTCTCCAGAGCATCAGTATGGGTCCTTTTAACACTTTTCCAACATGTAAAAGGAATTTACAAATTACAGTATATTCCAATTCATGGTAACAGTTGAGCAGCCTCATTTGTAACGGTGACTTCCATAAGTCCTACAATTTTGAGTAACAGATTGTCTGAATGCTCTAGATATTAATCATGTGTTTTCCATTCATCTGCCCTCCCCAGTGCATGAAGAAATTTGCATCCATCAAATGCATGAGAGTTACAGCAATCTGCATTTTCCACTTTACCAAATCTATCCCATACTTTAGCAGAAAAAGAGCATACAGTTTTGAAAGTTATTTTGAGGTAGGAGAAATAACCCAGTAACATCTTACATTAGTAGCACTGACATGAAAGGGGGTGGGAGGGAAGCTAAGGACTTTCTTAGGACTGCAGGAGGAACTAAGAGATCCCAGCTTGCCTGTTCCCTCAGTAGCTATTTATAAATAAGCAGAGGGGGAGAGAGAGATGCTAATGAAGAGTAAATATCACCCTTCGTTGCCCCGGTTAAGTTTGTGTTTTCATTTTTCCACCCATTCAATTGCAGCCGAGGAAACCACTGCAGGGAACTGGGCAGATGGGCAGTGTAGCAGATAAAAACAAACCAAAGGGTATTTATTACCTTTGCGGGAAGCGGTGCCCTGGGTTCAGATGCTCCTGCTGCTGGTGCAGGTGCAGGGGAGAGCACAGGATGCTGAGCGGCTGCGCGGCTGCCGCTGCCCGTGCTGTTTGCGGGCGCCGCCGCCGCCGGCGCTGCCTTCGCGTCGCGGCTCATGCCCGGCGCGGGAGCCCCTCGGCGGGCGTGCGGGCCCTC